CGTTTGATAGTAAAGGGCTAGCTTGATTTGTTAACAGCTTTCCCATACCTCAATGGGTGATGTAATGAGTTATTAAAAGTTAAAACTCAATAACATGCTACTCCGTGCTCCGTAGTATAAACTTGATACGTCGGAAAGATATATGCCGAAGGGGTTTTAAACGTTTTGTGTGCAAATATGAATAGATTCCGTTGTAGTCTAGTTGGTCAGGATATTCGGCTCTCACCCGAAAGACCCGGGTTCAAGTCCCGGCAACGGAAGATACGTTTTTGGTTTTTTTTATTCAATTCGTTTTAACAATTAGATATGTATAAAACTACTACTGCTCAAAGCTCCGTTGTAGTCTAGTTGGTCAGGATATTCGGCTCTCACCCGAAAGACCCGGGTTCAAGTCCCGGCAACGGAACTTATTTTTTTGATGTTATTCCTATTCAACTCGTTTAAAATGCAATATAGCTCTGGGCAAAATTAAGAAGTAATCTTTTTCCTCATTCATACATGCAACTCTCTTAAATGCAAACAACTGTTGGCTAAAACTAAGAAATGCGGCAAATTATAGCGTATGACCGGCATACCATGCCGGTCCAAATACGGTGCCGTTTTATTAATTAAAAATAATACAAATCATCTTTTCATCTCCGCCAAGCTATTCTCCTGGGATCCTTGTCCGCTATAGCATATGTCGTTCCTTCTCTTTCATCGCTCCGCTTCTGTTGCAGGGAATTAAACGGAGAAATTTCAGGACCTTGGCCATCATAATCGTGAGGCAAAAGAACAACTAAACCAGCCTCCCCACTGCTCAAGAACTGGTCAAATATCACTTGAGCTCGATTCACAAAATCGTTAAATTGTGCTTCCCAAATTATAAGTGAATTTGGATTTTCCATTGAATAACCCAACTCAAATCCTAAACACCAAACTCTGAAAGAAAACTCTAAAAATAGCAGACACTTACACGTGAAAATACACACAGTTACATTTGAAAATACACGCAGTTACATCAGAATTTACCTAAAGTTACATATCTATTAGAGTGAGTTACATGTCAATTTTTCTCAACAAATCATATCCTACTTACACGTGATTTACACTCAAGTTACATTGGCCATCAACGCGAGATACATTTGTAATAACACGAGTTAGATTAAAAAATCAACCCCTGTTATTGAAACAAAAAAAATCTTTTCTAAAAAAATATTTTTATGGCCATGATATTAAAAACAAAACATATTTACGTTTTACCTAAAGCAATTGTGCAATTAGACTCTTTTTTTTCATTGTTTACATTTAAATCAATATTTGACAAAGTTACATTTTGGATGGGCTTGAGTTACATTGATCAATAACGCGAGTTACATATCTTTACATGCGGGTTACATCAGATCATCCGTGTTATTGGGACAAAAAAAAGTCATTGTACACATGTGTATTGTTCACGCGTGTACTGTTCTCGCATTTTTTTTTAAATTGATCAAAACTAAGTCGTTTTGGGGTGTGGAGCATGGTGCTCACCATGCTCCGGTTGCACGGTATACGCATTTATGTAGTTCTTCGCATGATGATATATAGAGTTTAAATGCAACACAACATTTTATTACTTTACCATGTTATTGTGTATTTAACTATTTAAAATGGAATAAATGACGGGTAAAGAACCAAGAAACAATTTTAGTTCATTCATATATTTGCATGTTAATAATTGAGCCAGGGGCGGCCTGGGGGAGGGGACAGGGGCCCTAGGTGACTAGGTCCACGAAAAATGAAAAGATTGAGTAGGCTACTTTTTCATCTCTAAACTAATACTCATTTTGAGGTGTTTCCGTGTGGATTGTTTGATGAAAATTTATGAATATGTTCTCTATGAAGTTTAGATTATGTCCAAAAACAATTAGTTTAAAACTCAATCTTGAAGCTAGTTAAATAAATTATTGAAAAATACTTTTTTTTATGAATTAGTTTTTGGAAGTTTTTTCAATAATATATTTAAATGACTTCCCGATTTAAGTTAAAGCTAAAATTTTGTTTACATAATCTACACTTGACTAAAAACATAATCACAAAATTTCATAAAAATCGAACTTGGAAAAAGATTAGTCTGATATAAATATTTGATTAGTTTATTAATTGAATACATTCATAGTTGATTGTTTGATTTCTTAATTGTTGATTGTTATCTATTGTGCGTTGGTTTTATAATTTGTTGATTTTGTTAGACAATTATTTTTAATTACAATTAAATTTATAAATTTAAGTAATTTCAAATTAGAGAAAACGACGCTATGTAAAAAAATTCAATGGAAAACTTTGTTTGTATAAGAGTCAAATTGTGAATGTCCTCCTCAAGATGAGAACTCAGAGAAGCAGAATGATTTAGCTATTGAAAATGAAATGATTCAGAATCATCACATCAATGGTAAAGTGAACAAATAAGACCATCATTATTTACTCCCTAAATAAGGACCACTAATACTAAAAACTTTGTTTTCAAAAATAGACCATTTAGGCGAGAACTTCTCTCTCTACGCAACCGTCTCCCCTAGGGTTTGGGGTTGTTTTTCTCCGCTTTCATCTTTGACGAAGTGCGACTTTCTTGTGCGGCTTTCGTCCGTCTTTCGTGAGGCTCTCTTTTTCGGCAAGCCGCATCGCCTATATGACAATTAAATGTTGTGTACCCCTAGTAGCAGGTGGAGAATTTCGAGGATGTCATTCATGGTTGAGATTAGAAGGTCTTGGACGAAGCATGAGGCTAGGTGTTGGAACTGATCTAGACCGGAGGCAAGGGGCAGAAGATGCTACAATACTGTTGGATCGTCCCCCTCCTGAACCCCGCCATGGATTGTAGGAGGGTTTAGGGTTTGGAAGCAGCATTTTAATTTTACTGTTTGCTTGCTATTTATTTTTCGTGATCAGACTGTTTATTTTTTTGTTGGTTACTTTTAAGAGTAAAAGGTCAGTTTAGTTCTCGAAGTTGCATAAAAGGGGTCAAATAAGTCCTTATATAGAAGATTCTGTCCGGACGTGCCATTTGAGGTGGTTCCCGGCGGAATTTTTTTGATCAAATTTTTTGAGTATCTTATTCATTAAGTCTAGTTTACTCGTACCAAATTTCATATAAAAATTCAACCGGGAAGACATTCAAATTAATTCTTGAAGATAACAGTGCTTTTAACTGCACAATTATCTTCAAGAATTCATTTGAATGTGTTCCCGGTTGAATTTTTATCTGAAATTTGGTATGAGTGAACTAGACTTAATGAATAAGATGCTCAAAAAATTTCATCAAAAAATTCCACCGGGAACTGCTTCAAATGGCATGTCCGGACAGAATCTTCTATATAAGGACTTATTTGACCCCTTTTATGCAACTTCGATGACCAAACTGACCCTTTACTCTTACTTTTAATGTTGTAAGACTCTTGCATTAGGATTGGATGTTGATCAGCGAATTATATTGCTTTTTTCGAGGTGATTAACTCTAAGTCTGGTTCGAGGGTTGACGGTTGTCTGTGATCCTTTTGTCGTTTTACCCCCTATCTGAATTAAAAACTGCGCTTTTAACTACGCACTTATCTTCAGGAATTCATTTGAATGCCTTCCCGATTGAAGTTTTAGCTGAAATTTGGTATGAGTAAACTAAGCTTAATGAATAAGATGCTCAAAAAAGTTCATCAGAAAATTCCATTGGGAACTATCCCAAATGGTGACGGCCGGACAGAGCCTCCTATATAAGGGCTTATTTGATCTTTTTTTGTTAGTATGTGGGCTTATTTGCCCCTTTTCCATTGTTTAACTATCCAAATATTTTCTCATTGTAATTTATTCAATTCCAACCTCTGCCTTGTCTGTTATCACTCACCTGCTCAAACGTTGCTAGAATCCGCAACACGAGAAAGTAGCCGGAAACTTTCGCTGGTTTTTCATAGTTTTTCTTTTTTAAAATTTAAAAAGGTCGCCAAAATGTTTTTCGAAAGTCAGAATGACATGTATCTGCAATAGTAACATACGTAGTATTTGACGGCGACAATGACATGTGTTAGTACATAAAAACCTGACAATTAGATAAAAATGTGACAGTGACATAATATTTATCTGAATTTATTAGCCTGTTGCTCAAATTTGTCTATGTAAAAAATAAAAATAGTTACTTTTTAGAAATTGAGCTTCGATTTAGTCATATTTAAGAAAAAAAATCTAAAATAGAGTCATATAGAAATAATTACATATATACTCCACATATAGGAGCAAAACATATGGAAAGTGCAAAAATAGGAGTGAGTTTGTAAAATTCCTCAAATAGGAGTATTCTTTAAAGCTTGGACAAGACCACCCCTGCCGGAGTTGCCACCGGAGTTGCTGCCAATCACCGCTCGCCAGAATCCGCCAAAATTTCCAGACAAGTCCTGCCACTTCCGTTACACCGGCCGCCGCTGTCAGTTCCACCATTGCCACCGCCGGCCGGATTCTGCCGCCACCCAAAAAAAATTCAGAATGTTTCTGCTGCCATTCTGACACACTTCCGTCGGTCGTCGTGTGCCGCCGTTACCACCAGACTGCCCCCGCTACCAACGCATTGCCCCGCCACCGACGGACTGCTCTGGTTGCCCAAGGGAACTAGGGGGACAATAATTAATTAGAATAAGGGTATTAGGGTAAAAAATTAATATTTACTCCTATTGGGAGCAATTACTTTGATAAATATTGTTTCCACAAATGTGTCACCCTACATTTTAGTCAATTATTACATGTAAATGGCAATGACATGCACCACTCATTGTAACTTTTGCCATAATTTTATATATAACGTAACGTACATGTCAGTAATTTTTTCTAAAATCCTCTATTACATACTCGTATTTAATTTTTAATTTGTTCTAAAGAAACATTATCTGTAATATTTATGGTGACAGTTGTATTTAGGAGGAACTATTCTTCAGCTCTTTACATACCAAAGAAAATTCCAACTGAATTGTAACTAACCTTTGAAGCTCTTATATTTCATTGTCTCTCACTTTCTATGAAAACAATTGAAAAGACTATTTCCAATAATAAAAATTCTTGAGAAAATGGTAGGGCCAGCTGGGAATATAAAGCCCGCCGCAGAACGATCCCCGCCGCCGCCGGGGAGCAAACCGCAGTCTATGAATGCCACCGGAATGGCTACCGGAAAAGCCGACCAAACCTCACCAAAGTTACCATCGCCGGGGCAGCAACACACGGGCGTGCTCAACCAGACACGTAGGTTGTCGGTTTGTCCCGCAAAAATGGCCGTCGGCGGGCTTGCCGTCGCCGTCACCATAGGCTACTTTACCTTGTATTCCAACAAGAAGCCGGAAGCCACCGCCATTGACGTGGCTAGGGTTGCCACCGGCACCGGAACGCCGTCCAACACCCGCCCTCGCAATTAATTAAGTTCTTGCGCTTAATAATTCAAAGATACGACCTAATTGCATTTTAATTCGCTCTAAGATTTTTATTGTAATTGGATTCTATCCCGGACCCTCGTCTTGCGGGAACGACAATTTACACAGGGTGCTATTTTTTTTTTGTTATTGGATTGATTTGTTTGTTGCAAATTTTAATATTTAATTAATGTGTTGTAGTATTTTTTTTGTTTTGTTTACAGTTTCGGATTTGAGTAGCTGGCTCCATTTTGTAATGTATGCTATTTATGTAATAGTTATTGATTGCTCTGTCATTAATTAAGCATGAATAATTATAAAAAATGCCATGATTGATATCTATTTATCTTCATATGCCCCATGGTTGTGCAAATTATATTCTACATCCGATTGTATAGTACTATCAAGTGCATGTTATGATGGTATAGTCGAGTAAATTTGCAATTGTTTGCAAGTTTGAGCCTTTTTATTATAGGTTTACTCACTCTTTCATTGGTTTCTTCCGTTATTTTTCTCTCTGGCGAATTTTCCTCCCATGGCAACTTCTTTATTAATGGGAAAGTTCCCGAAATAGGACTAAAACAGTTTGAAAATTCTAAAATAGGACTGTCATATTTTTTATTCCCAAAATAGGAATAATTACTGCCAAGTTTGGAAAATACTGACATGGTTGAAGTCTGGTACTGCCAAAACATGACAACAATTGGTCCTATTTTGGAAATAAAAACATGACAGTCCTATTTTGGAATTTTCAAACCTTTTTAGTCCTATTTCGGGTAATATCTCAACTCTTTACTCTTCGTAGTTCGTGCTTCTAAAATCTAAACAATCACTTACTCAAAGCATGAAAGAACTTTTATTTCTTTAGAGTCCACACTTCACATCTTCATACTTATTTAACGGCCTTGCCTCAGAAGTACTCAGCACCTCTCTACTACTCTCTTCCTTCATCCTTCAATACTTCATTATCTTTTCTTCAGAGTTACGTTCAGACCAAAACTTTTCTCTCAAAATGGTATTTGGAAAACGTAAGTTGATAGAAAGTCAATATGATGATATCACATACACGACCTTAAGTGATGAAGAAATAACAGAAACTACTTTAGTTGTTGAAGAGGTCTGCACCGAAAGTCAAAGTCCTCAAAAACAAGACAACAAAGATGATGGGTGGTCTAGTATCAAACATAAACCATTGATCAATGTCATTGCAGTAAATAGTTGCGGTGCAATGTTCATGTATGTTGAGGATTTTCTAGATTGGAATAGCAAAGCAGCGGGTAGGGAAATTGAAAAGGTACACAAACACATTTTGGTCTACTTATTGTGTTCATACTTTGAATTGATTTTCAAAGATCTCACAAAGTAACTTGATTGGTTGAGGAATGCATATTAGAGAGGGAAAGTTATTGTGAAGTATTTTCTTGTGAGCCTTGGCAATTTTTAGTGATAATTAAAAGTTGGAGTTGTTGAAAAATGTCAAGACTAGGTTTGCATTCCATTATATTTTGTTGAAAAGATTAAGAGATTGTAGAGAAGATCTTGCTATGACTATTACCCTTAAATTTTGGAGGGATTGGCTAAAACAAGTGGATGAAAGCGCAAGAGCAACTGGACTATTAGTTGTTGATACTATTAGAAGCAAAAAAAAAAAAATTGGGATGATGTTGATAGCATTCTTGCAATAACAAAGCTCATTATCTTGCCAATCAAGTTTTGTGACGGTGAAGGATCGAAAATGGAATAAATCTATGAAAAATGGAAAACATGTTGGGAGAAATAAAAGCTACCATGGTTATTAATCAATACGCTTCGTACTTTTCAAAAGTGGAGGCTATTGTGTTAGGTGGGAGAAGAGATGACTATTCCTTTGCACTGTTTGGGTTTGCCCTATCATCACGATTTTATGATCTTTGTTATCTCGAGAAATTAGCACCTGGTGGAGTTCCTAGAAAAGTTCTGAATTGTGATAGAGAAGTTATGCTAGGTGTAATGGAGGCTTTTCTAAAAAATTTGACAAAACTCCAAAAGAACAACTCTTAAGAGAACAATTTGCAAGGTTTCACATGAAGAAGTTATCACCACCTATAAGCAATTCCCCAGCTGAGAGCAATTGGAGCACTTACTCTTACATTCACAATGTGAAAAGACATTATTTGAATTGTAAAAGGGTTGACAAATCGGCATTTATAATGCATTCATTCAAGCATTCATCTCCAATCACGATTTTTTGAAATTTACAAAGTTGGTCCAAATAAGAGGTGAGGTATTAATCCTGCAAGTGCATATGTGGAAGGTTCAAGTGCAAGACTAGATGGATTGCAATAGGAAAACTTAGAAAAGGATGTTGCTTTAAATGATAAAGGAAAGAGACATAGGATTGACTAGTTTGTTCCAAACTATATTTACTCTTTTATAGAAAGTTGAAACTACGTCTAATGTTTTGTTGAAGTTGTATTTTATTTTCTATTTTTTTAAGCTATTGTTGGAATTCTGAAATCTTTCTTGTTTTGTTGAAGTTGTATTTTATTTTCTATTTTTTTAAGCTATTGTTGGAATTCTGAAATCTTTCTTAACTTTGTTGACTGTTTTGTAACTTCTATTGTTGCAACAAACTTTGATAAGTTTGTTTAGTGTTTTATTAAAGTTAATTGCTTAATATTGTATTAATTATATTTAGTAAAGTGTACCGAGGATATGTTTATGGTACACCGTACCATAGCAAATGGTACAATGTACCACGTAATGAAATAACATACCAAAGAAGCCTACCCCTTGCGTAACAGGTTTCTAATATTCACGATCCGTGTTCCCATATTCGTAATGTGATCATGTGGTTAAAATTTGTTGTGTTTTACTCGAATTTTATACGGTAGTATATACACATATACATATATATCACGATATGTAACTTTAAACATGGGTTTATACCAAAAGTCAAATTATTTTGATATACCACTATTTTAGTATTCAAATATTTTGATATACTTGCTACTTTAATAGTTTCTAACACTTCAAATTTTGCAATATTCAAAAGTTAACTACATTGTATTAGTGGTAGACTCAGGCCGGGTGGCCCAACCCGGAACCGGCCCGGGACCGGCACTGTTCCAGCCCGGCCCGACCCGGTGGCCCGGCCAGTGACCGGTCCGGGTAGGCCTGACCCGAGGGGTTTCCGGTCCGGGTAGGCCCGACCTGAGGGGTTTCCGGTCCGGGCTCGGGTCACCCAAAACATGAACAGGCCCGGCCGGTTCCGGGCTTTTTTTTCAATTTTTTTTAAATCCCCGGATTGGGCTGGGTATTTTGGGTTATTTGGGGTGGTTTGGGGGGTTGGGGGTCAGGAGGGGGGGTCGGGGGTAATTAGAAAAAGGGAAAAAAAATGTATGAAGCCCGAGGCCCGGCCCGGACCCGGTGGCTACCCAGGCCAATCCCGGGCTCAACATTTCCTAACTGGCGGCCCGGTCGGGCTTAGGCCCGGCCCGTGCCCGAACCGGCCCGAGGCCCCGAGGACATCGTATTCACAAAAATGAAACTCAAACGTTTGTGACCAATAAGAATTGAAATGGTATCTACATTGTATCAAGTAGTAAAATAGTACTAATACATCGAATTTCTTATCCCAAAGTTTTGTATATTCCGATAACATCTTAGATCAATATACTGAAGTTTTTGATACGGTAGGATAGGTACTTGATAGTTGATGCCATACCAAAATTTTGTATTTACCGAAAATCAATATACCTTTTTCCATTCAATTGGAATGAAGCCAAAGATTCATTATTTTTTGGCTTAAGAATATGATGGGATAAAGCAAAATGGCTCACTAAACTATCAGAACTTCTTTGTTATGAAGTAGCAGTCATCTCATGCAATTTTGGACGCGATTTTCACTATGGGTCATCCCGAAACAGTCTCTCTATGCTTTAGTACAGAGGTAAGACTGCGTACCTCCGACCCCCCTTACCCCACCGTAGGTGGGAGCCTTTGCGGCACTGGGGTAAATGAAAATGATGAAATGATGACCGAAAATCAATATACCAAAACTTTTAGTACCATACATGTACTACGTAATATTTTAGTACTGAAAACTCCGGTACAATACATTGCATTATAGAATTTTTTTATATATATCATACCGAACCATCCATCCATTAATGAAGCAAACCCTCATCTTTTTCATCTCAATGTGTTTTCTTGGAAAGATTTATAAAGGAGCCTAAAATCAACAAAAAAAATATCCTGAAACAGTAGCAGAGTAATAATAATGGTATTGAAGACGCACAATTAGACAACCTTTGTTCAATCACTGACTGACCAGCTACAGCACATTCCAATGCTCAGAATTAATCAATCAATCTTCACCGACGAGTAAATACGCCTTGTGAACCAAAAGCAAGCATAGAACCCAATGGTACCAGTCAAGACAAAGAAAGCATATGAAGCAATCAGCATGTACCCGAAATAGAGTATGCCTGAAACCGGCTTCGTGATCTCCAGCTTAGTGAAGAAGTAGAAGCCTGCATAAACAAAGAGGTAGAAGGCTGAAGAGCCCGAAGTGAGGTAGGACCGCCACCACCAAAGGTAGTCCTCGCTGCACAGCTGGAAGTAGCAGAGAACGATCGTTATCTCTGCACAAGTGATTATGAGGATGACAAGAACGACAAAGAGGAAACCGAATATGTAGTAAAACTGTTGCAGCCAGATGGAGGTGAGGATAAAGAAGAGCTCGACGAAGACTGCCCCGAAAGGGAGAATTCCCCCAATCAAGATTGAAAATATTGGATTCATGTACCACGCTTGTTCCGGTATTTGTCTTGGAATCTTGTTTGTTTTGACAGGCCCCTCAATGGCCGGCTTCTTAAACCCTACGTAACTACCCACAAATACAAGTGGGACTGAGACACCAAACCACAAGAAAACCAAAGCGAACATTGTCCCGAATGGTACGGCCCCGGACGACCTCTCACCCCATATGAGAGCATTTAGGACAAAAAAAACAGCAAAGAAGACTCCCGGGAACATGAAAGCCGTCTGGAGAGTGATTTTCTTCCATTCGGATCCTTTAAACATTTTGTAAAGGCGGGATGACGAGTACCCAGCCAAGACGCCCATGAAGGCCCAGAGAAGAAGCATGGCTGTCATTAAGCCTCCACGGTTTGAGGGGGACAAGAAACCCAAAACGGCAAAAATCATTGTCACTAACGTCATGCCGAGGAACTGAACGCCTGTCCCGACATAAACACAGAGCAGATCTGAGTTTGTTGGGGGTCTGAATACATCCCCATGGACAAGCTTCCATCCAGTTTCCTCCTGAGCTTCTTCCTGGGTTTCCAACTGGTTGTATTTGGAGATATCACGATACAGTGTTCGTAACATGATCATGGCCACCATTCCCGAAAGGAAAAGGACAATCATGAGAGAGTTTACTATTGAGAACCAGTGGATCTGATCGTCAGTCATCAAGAGATAGGTGTCCCATCTTGATGCCCACTTGATTTCACTCTCCTGCAAAATGATAAATAGGGGGCAGTGGAGTTACTTATTCTATAATTTTTATTTTGTTAGTTTTTATTTTCTCTACATTAGGTTAGGTTATGGTATTAGTTACCTGAAATTCAACATCATATGTGAAGACTATTTCTTTCTTATCTTCAACTTCTTGGGGAGAATCAGAGGATGTAACTGTACGTTTGGCATGAGGATCACAGGTTGTTAGTCTTGTGTTGTTTCCACTCCACTGACCCTCATATTCATGTCTCACACTGAATATTGTAAATAAAATATAAGACAAGATCTACACAATATTGTACCCAATTTCTTTTGAAAGAAAAACAACAAATTAACCACATCTATATCTGACCTGAAGGGCTTCACTTCAAATCCGACAATTCTAGCAGCATTAGTTTGTGCATCTTTGTGGAACTTGACGGTAAATGTCAAGTGATTGTGTATAAAATACTTCTCCTCCTTGCTCTATGAAATGATAATTAAGCATTAATGAACTAATTGAGACATCCTTAGCATTAAAAAGTAAAAAGGTACAATGAAATGAAAAATGTGCAAAGATGCATACTCCGGCATATATTCCTTTAAGACCAACATGGAAACCATGTTGATAGATGATAGAATCCTGATCAGGCCTCTTGATGGGCATAACAAGAGGAAGATTGTCCAAAATCCTGTTGCATTGAATGAACTAAATCAGTGGCTGTTGACAATCAGAAATTTAATAAAACAGCCTTAAAAGAGCACTTCAAAATGAGCTCATTACATGTTCACCCGATACTCATCATCTATCTTCTCCTTAAAATCTTTGGCAGTTTTTGCATTAAGAACAAGATGACATGCAATATTGCACATCTGTGGTTCCCTCATACGAAACTGCATAAAACATCTTCTGTTAGGCCACGAACTATGCACAGAATAATGCATTCTTATTATGTGTTTGTATCCATCATCATCAAATAAAAGTAAGACCCAGTTTGGGATAAATTACGGTATAAGAGCCTTCTCAATTAAAACCTTAAATGCTTTTTTGAAAACCTCAAGTTGCTGTTTTCTTAAGTAGGTATGAGAAGTGTATTTGACTGTTAAATTACTTTCTCTATTCCGCTTCTTCAGTAAAAGTATTTTTTCCCCACTAAAAAGGGATTTATTCCTTAAAAACAATACATCAACGTGCAAGTGAACCCACCTCATAAACGGAATTCTCAATACGATCACCACGAAGAACTTCACCAAGATTCTCTGCACTATCCACAATGAGATCTGGCTTACAATAAGGAAGGGAATAGTAGGAATAGGGAAGCTGGGTTCTCGTAGAGGCCAGTTTGTTGACTTTCACCTTCAGAGGATCATCCTGCCAAACGAGTGGATGACACAGATAATATAACAATTACACGAGGTATCAGAGTATCAAACATAATTACATGATCTACCCTTAGACATATTACAAGGGCATCATGCATAACAACATTTGAAATGCAGTTTTCCAGCATCTTTCCCCATAAACAATGTATGCGCATGTAATCACATATAAAGGACCCATTCTCAGGAACACGTGCTTTCCTCAACAGGAATCCGCATTCAAGCAGAAAGTAACTCAGAAAACCATGATACTCTGCTTCCCGATCAAGTATTCTTCTTCTATTAAATTACAGAAACCAAACAAAATACTTGACCATAGAGACCTTAGGACTTGATTGGTTCATGGATTTTTTAGGGAAGGTGAGAGAAGGGAAAGATTGATTTTTGTTCTACAAACTTATCCCTGTTTGCTAGTCTTAGACTAGAAAAAACTATATGTTTCTAGTAGATATATTACCCACATATATCACCCAGCAGTTGCTAACGTTCTAGGCTCATTCAACATAGATATGTTACAGTATGAGAGTCCTTTCTAACGTTCTACGCACATATTTCAAATTCATGTTAATCAGTCACAATCCAGACCATAAACACACAAACTTCAAACCCTATACAGGAAACCATCAATGTTTTTCTTAAACTAAAAAAGGCATACATTCAGATGGACTGAGAAAACTTTATGAATATAATACCCGAGCCAACAAAATTAACTAATGCGCCTTTATTGATATCACACAGAACCAAGCTGGCTATCCTACTTAGCCCCTATGCCTTGACATCTTTCTAAAATATAAATCAATATGATCTTGTTGAATCAAAAGCCCATTGCTTCTACAGATCCGACAGAGAGAACAGAATGACCGCAAAGCCTTGGTAATCAAACGTAATGATAAACTACAGCTTACTCCCGTATACAAACAAGCCGTAAGAAAAACTAGGTCAAGCCCTCCATCGTGTCGGCGGCAAGATCTATAGTTACACTCAATGAACACCGTCATTTCAAAGAATTAGCGCATAATTACCTTCTGGAAATCTTGGGGAGCCACACCGGGGAGATAGAAAGAGTGAGCCTTGGAGAAGAACAAGAAGACGATGAGGAAGCAGCACGAGATCCATCGCGGGCTGACATCAACCCTCGCGAACTCCATAACTCTCTGAGATCTCTCACGCTCACACCAGCAGCACGTCAATGTCGCCTTCCTCGCACTGACTCAATGACTTCCGAGATCTAGATTTCTCTCTCTTCACTCTCACCAGAGTTTCCTCTCTCTGCACATACACGCAGGGAAGCGCATAACGCTTTGGAAATGCACGAAAAGAAGGGGAGAAGGCGGTGATTGCGTTTTACCCACCAAATAGAGAGAGAGAATGCTGTCAAGTCTCATCACGAGAGCATTTGGTACAAGTTTTGGCAGCCCTTGGATGGAAATGAAAGTCGTTCGATTAAAGGTGGAGATTTGATCACTGTGTTACATGTAGAGAGATGGAAAAGAATAATAACCTCCACGTCTAGGTGTGGGCAAAAATACGGAAAAGTAGGTATATGGCACTTACCCGAAAAATAACGGAAAATACCGGAATATTGTTATACCGTCATTTTTGGTACGGTATCATATCGTACCGATTTATTTCGGTACGGTAACGGTAAATGTTTTCAAATACCGCGGTATACCCGTATAATACCGTACCAACTCCCTACCCAACAATTATTTTAAATTCTAAAATATCGTAAAACTCCATTACAATTTTGAAGCACAAACTTAATACTTAGGTTGGTTATAAATATCAAAATACAAAAATAAAGGCCCAATTTCCGAAACTCACTATAATCTTCTAGGCTTCTACTATCTAACATTCAAATAAAGTAGTGGAAATATCCCGTTAAGTCCGTCTTTTACAATTGCATTTCATTTATGTCACCTAAACAATTACTTTTCAAATAGAAACTTTTATCTTTTCACTTTTCAATTCTTATTTCAAAAATAACCAGATCCTTAATCAAAACATCCCCAGAGATCGTAAATCTGGGGAAAATTTTACAAATAGGACCTTAAGTCCCCACATTTCCAAAAACAAGACCACCGAAACTTGTAAGACCTAAATTAGGATAGATTGACAAAATTAACCCCAATTAAAAGCCACAGACAACCGGCCGATCCACGTGCCATCTTTCACCTGTTCCCAAAAAAACTACTCCGTATCTCCTACCCAAACCTTTCCGAAAATCATTTAAAACAAAAGCTTCTTCTCCAACGGTTAATTTCAATCGAGCTTTGAAGACGATAAAACAGTCGAGCTTTGAGCGTAATTGAGGTAGAGCAAAGTGAAGAGCAAAGTGAAGAGCACAGACGAATAACAAGTATGGCGAAGCGAAAGAAGAGGTCAGACGACGGAAATGAAGACAAACAATTAACCGATAATGAAGTTTCAGACAGTGATTTTGAGACGAAGGAGAAGAAGGAAACAACCAATGAAAAACAAACGAAGAAGGAGCAAGACAAAGAAGAGGTTCTTCCATCTGGCAAGGTATTTTCTGTACTTACTCTTTTGTCTAATTTTTATTTTTTTGAGAAATTGAAATAATGACTACAATAGAAACAGAATATGCAATTTCGTTTACTCTATGATGTTTGAATTGTAATTACTGACTTCAAATTACTATCAGAAATTCATTACTGACTTGCAATAAGAATGACGTTTTCATGTATTCTTCATTGTGATTTCATACTCTCAGTCTGTTTTGTATGTTTGCAACGGAATTATTGACTTGAAATTAAAATCACAATGCATTATTAACTTGGATTTGATTTTGGTTTTCATTGTCATTGTCATATTTTATACTGTCATACAGTTTAGTATGTTTGAGATGGAATTATTGACTTCAAATTAAAATAAGAAATGCATTACTGAATTGGAATTTGAATGTGCTTTTCATATATTATTCATTGACATCTTTATACTCTCAGTCAGTTTAATCAGAATGCTTTATGGACTGGAGTTTGGTTGTGGTTTTGAGTAGTGTTCATTGTCATGTTTATACTCTCGATTAGTTTAATAGGTTTGAGATGGAATTATTGACTTGAAATTAGAATCAGATTGCATTACTGACTTGGAATTTGTTTGTGGTTTTCATATTGTGTTCATTGTCATGTTTATACTCTCAGTCAGTTTAAGAGGTTTGAGACGGAATGATTGAATTGAAATTACAATCAGATTGCATTACTGACTTGGAATTTGATTGTGGTTTTCATATATCATTCATTATCATCTTTATATTCATTATCATATATTACAAACACTGTATCTTATTTATTATTGAATTTGTGTATATATCAGGTCATTGTAAGATCATGTACAAGAGGACTGCTTGACAATAAAAAAGAATTAAAGGTTAACTGTTTCGCAAATGTGCACAATGGCATGGAAAAAATAAATAAATTGCTAAATCAGGACCAACTTCAGACATTCAGAAACACAACATTTGGAAAAATGATAGACATTGGAAATGTGCAATGGATGACCGGTCAGCTGCTCATTCTAATTGTAGAAAATCATGTGAAAAAGCTGGACGGTAAAGTGTATAGAGACAGGTTCATTTTCAACATTGGTGACAGATTGGTCTACTTCTACAAAAGAGAGTTTGCTTTAATAACTGGATTCAAGATGGGAGGCGAAAAACCTGTGATTTCTACAGAGACAAAAGGTGACATATGGAAAAGGTTTTTTAACTCAAGGGATAATGTATCAAGGAAAGACATTAAGAGAGCTTTTGAAGAGTTTGATAATATATTGGTGGATAAACAACCTTTAGATAAGGTAAAGTTGGCGGTTCTGAATATAATTTCTAACTTCTTAATTGGGAACCAGCCAAGTGTGAAATGTCCTGAGAAGTACATAAATATGGTAGATAATCTGGATTTGGTGAATGAATATCCATGGGGAGATGAAATCTGGGAAGATTTGCTTGAAAAGGTACCTAAGTGGAGTCACAACATTACAAACTCAAAGAATGATAGGTATGGATTTCCAGGATTTAGCTTTGCATTGCAAATATGGGCGTTTGAGAGTTTCCCAGCGCTTAGGAGGACAAATGTGTGCAGCATTGAAGAAGACAGAAAAGGAATGTGGCCAAGATTTCTGAAATGGTCAATTCCTAAAAAAACTTGTTGTGCAACACTTGCTGACAACATATTTGACAACAAACAGGTATTTGTTTTTAAATTAATCCGCTGCTACATAATTATATCAATTTATTGACTCAGAATTTTTTATTGTCTAATTTACGCTATAACATTTATATAAAAATTCTTTCATGCAGTTTGAATTTAAAAAAATGTGCCCAACAGAGGAGGAGCTTCAAAATCCCATGATAAAGGCATTTTATGCAGACAAAATGCCTAACCCTGTGATGAAAAAGAGTCGTCTCTCTTTGGTAGGAAAGAGGAAAGAGAATCCTGTCAAGGCAGATGAAACAGAAATTACAAAAGATGGGAGGACTGATGAAGCAAAGCATGTGCAATTTGAAGCTGAAAGAAATCAAGTCATCAGTGATCAAGGACATGAAGACATGCAGCACCAAAACTCTGAGCATGCAGGTCACAGTGGAATCAACAACTTAAACCGCATGTTTAAGAGAAGAAAGGGGGTTGGAAATGAACTTAGAGAAAGCACCATACTACGTAACTTAATGGCTGCGGTGGTGCTCCAATCAAAGAAGACACAGAAGCTTGAGAAAAGATTGGAAAAGCTTGAGGATGGAATGAAGAAGCTTCTAAATGGGCAAAGGGAGCAATCTGAAATGTTGAGATCACTTCTTAGGAAGATTGATGAATCTGAAGAAGATGACAGCGACAAAAGGGGGCTGGACTTAGACAATGATCTTCATGCGGAGGAAGAAAACAAAATGGGAAAGAAGCTGTCTCCTAAAAATAAAGCTAATGATTATTCTATTGCTGTATGTGCTACGCCAAGTTTTGATCTCCATCTTGATGACACACAGGACATGAAAGAAACTGAGGGAGTAAGAGAAGAGGATGAAGAACAACAAGCTGGTAGTGATGGTTCCAGTCAACTTGATAAACAGATTGATACTTATGATGCAGAGCCCATCTGTGCTCAAAATCAAGACGTTTTGATTGGTGAAGAAGCTGAGGCGCCAACTCAAACAAGCATCAACAGTGAGGAGCTACAAATGCATGTCAATACAGTCCTTTCGGATGTCATTAAAGATCTGAAGAAAACAGAGGAGATAATAGAAGAAGAGGTAATGTCTTAAGTGTAGATGGTCTTGTACTGATTGTTACTTTAATGTCTACTTAATGACTACATTTAAGCAATTATTGTCTACTTTTTAATAGAAATATTCTGATTGCAGGAAGAGCAGATGGTGGTAGATAGACAGAATGAGAGTGGTAATGATCAGTTCCAAATAAAGGATGTTCTCATAGATGACAAAAAGGTATGAATTTATTTATAGGCATATTACTATGGAAAAACAGAAATAAGAAGAAGAAAATGTGATTAAGCCTAAACGAATTCTAATAATGATGTTTTACACCAGTTACTTATACAGGTACAAGAGAAAACAAGAGTCCTTGAAGAGGAGGGAGATGAGCTGACACGACCAAGGAGAAATGTTAGAAGTCCTGAAAGATACACACCCAATCCAACAACTGAAATGAAGAAGAAGAAAATGCAGAAGGCAATGAAGAAAAGAGAAAAAGCAGAGAGTGACACATGTCTAGTACAAGGACCATTTACAGAAGATCCAAAAGAGAAGCCTTGTATGGAGGATGTGCACAAAGTGAAGATTTATTTAGCAGAGGGGCTGCTAAAGAAGCACTCCAGTAATGTCCAAAAGAAGTACAAAAAGAAGGACGAAGAGCTAGTGTCATGCCCATTCGGATTGCAGCTGGACAACTTCATTATAAGATCGAAAACATGGATTTATGACCTCTACACCAATCCCAATTGGTTGACCGATACAGTAAGTCCAAATTATATACATGCATATAAATATATTGTCTGAAAACACTACAAAACAATCGAAACCAATTTTATATTTTGTATTTCAGCACATGGGAGTAGCATTTTTCTACCTAGGCGTGAAGAGGAAGCAATTTAATCTGAAGCAGAAGTTTGCCACAGCAGATCCTTTATTAATTGGCCTGATAAAGACGAAAGCCGAACTGTTGGAAAATGAAAACACAACACTGACAGAGGCGGCATACAATGGCACAATCATGAATAACATCTTGGGTACTAGCCAAGTAAACATGATGCCATGGGCAGATGCTGATTATGTATACATACCACTTAATACAGCAATGCATTGGGTTCTATTGGTTTTAGAAATCAATGAAAAGCATATCCGGGTTTACGACTCAATGAAAAGAAGAGGGGATACAGTGTCTAGCATAAGGTCATATACCAAATGCTTAGAGACTTTCTTGCCAAAGGTCATGGAGAGATTAGGAGTGTACGACAAACGTCAACAAGCAGCAATTGGAAAGGGAAAATTAAAGATTGAAATGGTGCGCAACTGTCCACAGCAGGAAGATGGGTATGTACAGTGTATAAATATCATATATAGCTATATATACATTAGCATAAAAATATTTATTTATGTTGATCTTGCAGGGGGAACTGCGGGATGTTTGTGATCAAGTTTGCTGAGTTCTTAATGCTTGATCGAGAGGTTACTGAGGTTTCAAATGAGGACATGGAGATGTATCGAGAAAAGATGACAACGGAACTACTTTTGTATGCATCAACAAAAAAGTAGATTTAGTAAATGGTTCTTGATATATGTATCGTAAACAAAGCACATTTATGCTCTTTAATATGTACTTTAATGCATCTAATTCATATTTGGATGTATTTAGTTAAACTGCATTTATGCAAGCAATCATATTATAAAAGATGCATATTAATGTCTATTTTATGTCACTGTGCAGACACTAAATTACGTTTAATGCCTTGTATTTTTGTTTCACATGTCCAAATCCAAATACGTAGATTTAGGAATTAATACCATGTCTTTTATAGTCAAATTGTTTAAAGAGGGAGAATGTGAGCTCAGAAATCATCCGAAGAAGGCAAAATGTGAGCCTAACCTCGACCTCCCCCCGAGATTGGAAAACATCAACCTCAGATTTCAACTAAACTTGACGAACACTGAGCCAGACCTCGAGGTCGCTAAGACCCCCGAGCTCGGTCAAACATCGAGGCCGGTCGAAACTTTGACCCTTGTGGTTTGTGTGAGGTCAAACCAAGTAGGCGAAAATTTTAAACACAAAAGTCAATATTGTATATTCAAAGTGGGTTCTCACCTTAAGAGCCCGAGCTTTGCCGAGACCGGGGTCAGTATTCTATTAGACTTTGTTTAAGATTTCAATTTCGAGAGAAAGACTTGTGTCCTCTCCCACCTCTGTAGACAGTAATTATATTAGGCGTCTTTGAGAAACGTCCACAGGCAGCAATTGGAAAGGGGAAGTTCAAGTCATTAAATGTCTGTTTTGTGCCAATATATGTAGACATTAAATGACAACGTCTTTTTGTTGCTTGAGTTTCAAGTCAAAACACGAATATGTAGATTTAGGAATGCATACTATGTATTTTATAATAATTTTTTTAAATATGGAGTATTAAAAGTACTTAATTAACAAAGCAAGATTTTAGGTATACCATATAAACGTAAATTTAATATTTCAAATACAAATGATGTGAAAAACTAATATACTATCTTTTTAATGCTATTAGTTTATAAACTTCACATGCATCACAGTAGCGAGATTTTTTGGTCAAAAGAGATGATTGTTCAAAAAATATTATATTCGACCAAGACATTAATAGTGCAATACTAGGCAATAAGTAGACACTAAATAGAAAATAAACATAGAATGTCTCTAAATAATTAACTAATAATTTTAAACTAGATATAAAAAGATTGGCAACAGGAGTATTTATTGGTAAGAACATCCATAAAGCATTATTATTTAAATCAATAAGGATCCATATAGCAGAATGAAAATAAAATACACAAATGTCACTAGTAAGTACAAAACATATATATGTGATAAAGAGATGAAAAGTAAAGCACTTCATGCCCTAGAAACCGGTATAGGATTCTTGCACGACTTCTTGTTGTGACCACCTTTTTTGCACCGAGAACAGCGCTGCCCGGATCGAAATTCACCAGTTGAAGGTATGCGCTTCTTTTTGGGTCTACCAGGAGGGCGGGTGTCACAAGTAGGTGGCCTACATAAAACTGAACTCACATGAGCTGGAATGTGCCAATCTATCGGCGAACCAATAGGATGCATCTCTCCACTGTATGTGCTAGTCCACGCCTCTCTGAAATAATAACTACATATGTAGTCATAGCATGATAAGCCCCGACGATGATTGACGGCAGCAACACCATGAACACAAATGAAACGCTCTAGTTGAAAAAAATGGCATGAACATGTCCATTCCTTCAAATTAACAACAAAGCTTCGAGAGGTTTTATCAATAACCTCAAATTCATATGCACTAGCAGGTTTCACCTAAATAAAAAGGTTGAAAACAGATTGTTATTACGAATTATTTTAAAAAAAGGTAACTAAAAAGTAAGAGGTAATGAATGTACCATCATCATTGATGACTCTGCATGGAAGGTGCGAAGCTTCATCTCAAAATGGTCAGACAGAAGTGTTCTTTTTTTTGCAGCTTCATCTCGGCGATCACAGAACCATTCTTGCATCCTATCCCGCAAAAAATCTACTAACTTTGCTATTGGGTACTCACGTGGAATTCGATCCATAGAATTCATTGACTCAGCATTGTTTGATGTCATCACAGAGTACCTAGTACGCCTACTGCAACACCGTGCCCACTTCTCAAAACCAATAGCAGCCAGATAATCACGAATACGAGGATCATCAGCATCTAATAAAGATAAATACTCTTCAAGTTCAGTGCTTGTTGCAGACCTAGCTGCCTGGTTGAACTTCCATGCCAAACTTGTACCAGATCCTTTAAATTTTGTTCTTAGATTGCCTAAAATATGTTGAACACAGTAACCATGTTCAGCATGTGGAAAAACAGTTTTTGCTGCATATATAATTCCCTCATGTCGATCCGAGACAATATACAAATCAGCTCTATGATCAAGAGTCTCCTTGAGCTTATTAAAAAACCACAACCACGTATCTTTTCTTTCAGTGTCACACACACCAAAAGCCAAAGGAAAAATCTGTTGGTTCGAATCCTGAGCACATGCTGTTAGTAAAGTGCCCTTATAATAGGACTTCATGAAGGAACCATCAATAATAAGTACTGGAAAGCAATGTTTCCAGCCATCAATCCATGCCTTTAATGACATGAAAAAGTTCTGAAAACGAGAATCGTCACCAATTCTTAGTGAGATCATTGAACCTGGATTCTTTTGGTCCAAAACATGCGCCAGCGATGGCATAAGCTGGTAAGACTCCTCATCTGAACCCATTAGTTTCCGTTGAGCCTTTAGGTTTGCAATCCATGCTTTTTTGTAAGGAACAGTTATACCATAATCTCTTTTCATGTCAACTATTATATCATTAGGAGTGTATGGCTTTCTTGATGCATCTGCATATCGGTGCTTTATGAGTTCTGCAATAATTTCAGATGTGGCTTGACGATGAATACCTTGTCTAAAATCAATGGAGCATGAATGTTCAGAATCAAACCTGAAAACACATAAGTACAGACAGTAAATAGAAACTAAGTAGCCATTAAACGGGTACAACAAGACAATAAAAGTAAAAACCAAATACATGAAACTCAGAATACATGCCACTTCTAACATAAAAACAAGTACCTTTTAATTTGGAACATACGACTCCCAGAAAGCATCACTCCACGAACAGCCCACTTGCACCCTTTTTCATCAACACAAATGACATGCAAAATTGTGCATTTTGAGGTCTTTGTCTTGTATTGAAAATGATTTGTAATTGCATACATCTTTAAATGGAAATCCAAATCTTTTTTAGTCTTATATATAGCATCTTTGGCTATATGAGTAGGGTGGAAGTGAGAAAGAACATCTAATTCAGGAAGAACACACAAAGAATTTGCATGGGAATCAAAACTTGAAGAAGAAAACGCTGAAAAGCTGTTGCTAATCTCATGTGAATCTGCATGGGAATAGGATTGGATGTCTTCTGAGTTCATCAAAAGAGTTGGTTGCTGCACTTGTTGATTTCTGGAAGCAACATTACGTTCAGGGGAATAGGAATGAATGTTTGCTGAGTTAACCAAACCATTACGTTCGTGCACTGGTTCATCCGTGATAGAAGCATTAAGATCAAGTGGAATAAAAGTGACAGACTTATCTTTTTGCTGAAAAGTCATCAACGCTGAACTCTTTTCGGGAGATATATTGAGATCAATAGCAGAATACTCGGGACATGTATGATTATTGATGCAACCAGAGACACTAAATAACTCGACACACAAAGGAAACATAGCATAGTCTGGGTGAACTGTTTTCAAAGCCACGTAAAATTCCAAGCTACAAGGATCACTAACAACCAAAGGAGGTGGACATGAATCAACAAGGTAAGATATCTTAATCCTTGTAGTGTTAACAGATTCACCAATGCATGCATAAACAAGGGAAGTAAACTGATCATACGATGTCCCGTCAGGTAGTATTAACCCAAAGCTTCGTTTGTTAGAGAAACAGTTTGAGTTGTCCCAAGTACCATCAACTTTAAGCATAAGCAACATGATTACAGCAACTGTAGTAACATGTAAAAAGAAAGCAACAATGAAATGCAATTACATATAACTATCAGAAACTTTATGTATGCATAACAACAAAATCAATAGTAAGGATGATATATAAACAAAAGTATACAAAAAATAAACACTGTATAAGTACAAAAGG